AACGACTACAGTCCTGCTGGAATGTTCCTATTCATCCAGATCAAATTTTCCACTATCAATCGTCTATGCTTAAAATATCGCTACCACATATGGTCTGGTGCTTCTGCTTATATATCTAGAGATCCTTGATAGAATCCAAAGAAGAATCAGCAATATTACTGGTGTTCATCTGGCATCTCAACTTCAGTCTCTTTCCCACTGCCATAAAGATGCCTCCCTGTGCCTTTTCTATCTTTCAAGGTAATTGTTCAAATGAGCTTTTCGCTATGGTACCTGGACTTTATGAATTTAAGCACAGTAATACACTCGCAACGGGGCCTCACCAAATTACAGCTGAGCTGCTTATATGTAACCGTAAATTATATGCTAACAGTTTTTTCTCGCACTTCTAGTTTGTGGACCTCTCTTCCGGTTACAAGCTTTCCAGTCAACTTTAATCTTCAAACATTTACAAAGTCAACTGCCTACTGTCTATCTGATTACTCTTCTTTTGTTCCCTTTCCTTAGTAACGTTTCTGTTTTCTAATTCTTCCACACTCAGTAACTCTTTATGTCTCAGTGACTTTATTGCCTTGCTTGGGGTGAACTCGGTTAAAAAAGCCAAAAATACTTACGAACAATAACCTCAGATACGGCACTATCTCCATAAATGGTACATGTCTGTTTTGCTGTTTTTACGGCGTTTATTTGCTTCTGTAAATAAATGAGCACGAAATGACGAAAGCCCATCACATTTTCCTCTGTTTTCACTAATAAAATAAAAACATTTAAAATTTACAATGCATCCGGGAGTCGTATAGAGAAATGTCACCTTTCAGAATCTGCATGTGTGTCATAAATTTCAGTCACCTGTAAAACAAAGTCACGCATTAAAACGTCACCTATTAAAAGACACTACAATACTTTAATCTAAGTATGTTACGATAAAAGTGTAATGAAAGCTTTATAACCTTGATTAAAAGCAGAGAAAATGTCGAACATGGTCATTCTTGTCGAGTTTGCATTGCCTCTCAAAGAGGTGTCTAATATGAAATAAGATTTCAATAACGTTGAAGATGATGACGAAAGATTATTCTTCGAGATCATTTGTAGAATAACAGAGAAAACGAACGAATATATTTAACAACTTAATAAATAAATAAAAATTCTGTATTCTTTGTCTCCAAGCCTCCAAAATCCATATTAATTACACCGTTTAAAACTGATTGTTTCCTTAAGGTTTACGCGACTGTGCTATGCGTTTTCCTTTTTTTGAATTAAATATTGTTAGAAATATTAGCGCGGCAAATGTTGTCTTACGATTAGACTTAATATTTCAAGGGATTTCTAGAGAACCTTCCTCCTTTTTTTTTTTTTTTTTTTTTTTTGAGCATTGCACCCCAACAAGGTAATAAAGCCATTAAGACGCAAGTGGCTTATTGAACGTGAGTGAATATGGGAAAAAGGAAACATTATAAAATAAAACAGTAAACAGTAGGCTCAACGCTTCCTCAAAGCCAGTATCGTATAAGAGATGAACCCACCATAGTTACTTATTTTGCTCACTGATAAAAATCATCCAACATTTGTTGAAGGGAAGCAGTTAATGCCAGAAATCTAGAAGAAAATTTTTTTACAGTACCTTGTTCTTGATTAGTTTGTTTTTTGTTTTTTTTTTGTTTTGTTTTTTTTTTTTTTGTTGTTTTTGTTTTATTTTTTTGTGTGTTTTTTTTGTCAAGGACAGTGGGGCAAGAAATGATATATTGATGATTTAATAAGGTGGTATGGCACATGTATCTATTTGAATTATTACGAAAATTTATGTGGAAAAAAGACCTTAGAATATTCCAGCAAACCGTTTTTATAGGGATAGAAAATGAATTAAATGCACAAGAATAGAAAGAAAAATAGAATTCTTCTTCTAACCGGATTTATTCAGTCACGACGGTGAGGCAATCATGAAGGAACTGGAGATCCGACCAGGTTTTATTAGTCACAGTGGACACAAGAGCATAAGAAGATGACACCGTATTGTTGGCAGACGCAGAACAAAAACTACAGAAACTCCGAAATAGCAAATGAAAGCGAGAAAAAAAAAGGACTAAGCATTAAGTGTAAGAAAACAAAATTTATGTTTGTCAGCAAGATAAATAACTTCAGACACAACCTACGCATTTACAACGTTAAATTCAAATACCAGAATGGATTCAAGAGAAAAAAAATGAAGAACCCCATTTTACTCATGGTACTACAGACATGTGCTTCTTTTTCTGTTTAGACGGGAATTAATATATACTGCGTGCCAAATTATTATCGATATAACTTTTTTTTCTAATATTTCAAAAACCGTCCAATCAATACACACAAAATTTTCACATAATGTTGGCAACACTGAGCTACGCAATTACTGAAATTTTTGTACTGATCTGCGCAGTGTAAACAAACTGGCGCCATATTTGTTATCAGCACGGTGATTTGTGCGTGCCAAATTATTATAAAAGTGTAGGAATTTAGCGAAAAGATGGGCCGTAAAAGCAGTTTAACTGATGCTGAAAAGAAAACTATCACCTCAGAACACTGAAAAGGTAAATCTACACTAGAAATTTCTAAAATGATAGGTGTCATCAAACAGTGAAAAAGTTCACCGCCGACCCTACATAAGTACGCAAAAGAGCAGATAAAGGCAAGCCAAGGGTTGTTTCACGTCGTCTCATGTCACGACTTAAACGAGAGGCCACGAAGAACCCTGGACTTATAGTCAAGAGCTTTTCAGTCGCATTGTGGATCCTACTTTGTCTAAAAGTACTCGGTGTCGGTATCTGAGGGAAATAGCAACAACAGTCAAACCTGTATCGAAGTCTCCGTTGACGAGAAATCACATTCAAAATCGATTGAAATGGGCCGTGGACAATATGAAGATTGACTTCTCTAAAGTTTTGTTCACAGTCGAAACTGGAGCAACATTTGATGGGCCAGATAGATTGTGCAAAGGTTGGGTAATGAACGGACAGAATCGCCATCAGCGTTTGAGATGCCAACAAGGCGGTGGAGGCATAATGATCTGGGGTGGTATTATTGGAAAAACATTAGTGGGCCCATGGAGAGTACCAGATAGCCTCAAAATGAAGGAGCATCTTGAACCGTGGATGAAAAGGCAAAGAGTTGCCTTCAGAAGGGCCATTGCTTTTATGCAAGATAATGCTCCCTCACATGCTGCTCACAAGACTACCGAATATTTGAAACAGGTAGGCTTCGATGGAACTCGAAAAATGAAGTGGCCAGCAAATTGTTCGGATTTGAACCCAATCGAAAACCATTGGAACATCATGAAGCGAAGACTGTACGCCAATGGACGACAATTCAGGAGCAACGCTGAGTTATGGGAAGCAATTCTTGACATATCTCGCGGCATTACAGCAGATGACATCCTATAATTAACAAATTCTATGGATCGTCGACTTCTTCAAGTAATTTCAAAACAGGGAAAGCACATTCCCTATTAATTTGTTTAAAACTGTGCCTTTGCTTGTATCTGTTATTATTTGTTTGATTATCTTATTTATTAGCTTCTTTTGATCATAAACATTCACGTACAACATTAATAAACGTTTTGTTTGCTAAATTCTGTGAATTTTACTAAAACTTTCTAATAATTTAGCACGCTCAAATCACCGTGCTGATAACAAATATGGCGCCAGTTTGTTTACATTGCGGAGATCAGTACGAAAATTCTAGTGATTGCGCAGGTCAGTGTTGCCAACATTGTGTGAAAATTTTGTGGGAATTGATTGGACGGTTTTTGAAATATTAGAAAAAAGTTATCTCGATAATAATTTGGCACGCAGTGTATATATATATATATATATATATATATATATATATATATATATATACATACATTTTTTAAATAAATAATTATATATATATATAATTATTTATTTAAAAATTATAACATAAATATGTCATAAAATCACTACAAAATTAGCCATTTTGTTTCAACACTGTCCAAAAAATTACCAATTTTAAAATTCTAAAGTAATTTTTAAATTTTAAAGTAATTTTTTACTTTTAATTTTAATATCAAATGTTATCATATAATTTAATACTTATTGGTTAGAATAATTTTTTTTTTTTTAGTATAACCCCAATTTTAAAGCTCTGAATAGCTATTATAAACTTACTTCGTTGTCAAGTCTTTTGAATTTTCCCATACTTATGTTTTGATTGGTCATTCTAGCTTTTGTTACAACACTTTCCCCTTGCGAAGGATCGTTAATTAATTTAAAACTTTTAAAACCATTTATTTTACATTCAACAACATCACTTGAGGTGTTGAAACAAAATGGCTATTTTTGTAGTGCTTCTATAACATAATTTATTGTTATAAGTTTTACATAAATAATTATATCTGCTCTACTTTGTATTGAGCACTCTTTTAAGAATAGTAATCGTTGATTATTGGAATTTATTCCGTATACACCAATCATATATATATATATATATATATATATATAATGAATTTGATTGCACTAGACTATGGCTGTGTAAGTGTTAATGACAGAGTGAAATCTAAAAGAAAAAGCTATTCGGTGCCCTTTTTCTTGGTATTATAAACATGTACTTATTTTCCAGTTGATTCTAAGACTGTTTTGCAAAAATATGTCCTTGAAAGTCCTCTTCATTAATTCTTTTATCCGTTCTGAAAACTGTTATTCTCGTCCATCTTGATTTTTATTTTGATAAATAGAAATTTGCCACCTGCCCACTAATTTGGTTCCAGTGACTACATCAGCACCATTTGTAGGTGTTTAAAAAGAGCGACAAAAGAGTTAATGTATTTTCCATTTAAGCTAAAAGAATTTGTTGTGGCGAAAATTGATCGTGTTTCAAGCGAATGAAGTTAGCAGTAAAAAAAAATGGCATTAGAAGAAAGAAAATGTGCAATAGTTTAACAAAAAGGATAGGAATGAAAGAATTTTTTTATTATTATTATTGGGGGTGAATAAGAAGCAGAAATTGAATTACGTGAAAGAAAGAATCAACAATGACAAAGAAAAAAAGAGAGGGTAAAGAGAATGATAGAAGAAGAAGAAGAAGAAGAAGAAGAAGAAGAAGAAGAAGAAGAAGAAGAAGAAGAAGAAGAAGAAGGCAGTGGGAGTTAAGAAGAAATCATTAAGTAAATAAAATAAAGGAAGAAGTGGAAACAAGTAGGCGAAGCGACGACGACGACGACGACGAAGAAGAAGAAGAAGAAAAAGAAGGAGAAGGTACGAAAAGAAAATGAAAAAGACAAGAAAGAAAAGAAGAAAGTAGAAAGCTAAGTCATAAAGAAGAAGAAGAAGAAGAAGAAGAAGAAGAAGAAGAAGAAGAAGAAAAAAAAAACGAAAAAGAAGAAGATGAAATCAGTGGGAGCAAGAGAAGAAGAAATGTGCAAGCAAATGGAATGAAGGAAGCAAAGGAAAACAGTACGTGAGGCGACGGGGAATAAGGTAGGAAAAGCAAATGAAGAAAGCAGAAGACAAGAAGGAGAAGAAAAAAGTAGTAGTCTAAGAGAATAAGAAAGCAGGAAAGAAAAAGAAGAAAGAAGAAAAGAAATATTTTAGAAAATAGAATGAAGAGAGAAGAAAAACCAGTAGCTCAAGAGAAGAAGAAGGAGGAGGAGGAGGAGTTTGCAAGAAGGAATTTGTGTAGAAGTAAAAATGGAGAAGATGAAAACGAAGGAAAGTGAAAAAGAACAAATAAAGGTGAAAATGGAATGTATGAAAGAAAAATCTAGGATGATAAATAGAAAATAGAGAAAAATGAGCAACATACGAAAGACAGGAAAACAAGCAAATGAATAAAAAGGGGAAAAGAATGAATTTAGAAGAGAAAGAAAAAAACCTTGTGTTAGAATAAGAAGAAATGGCATAAATATAAGGAAGAATGAAAAAATACAAGATGGTATGAAAGAAAAAGACAATCTAAAAACTAAACGAGAAGGAGAATAAGATGAAAAAGGGAGAGGCGAAAGAAACAAAGAAAAGATTATGATGAAGAAAAAAATGAATGGTCAAAAAGAAGAAAATCAAGGAAATAAAGATAAAGTAAAGGAAAGTAACGTAAAAACAACGAGGAAAGAAAAAAAAAAGAAAAAAATGAACATATTATCAAGCGAGAAAGAAGAAAAAATGCTCCGTGATATTAAATACATATTTGCAGTCGGTTCCAGACTTTCAGGTTCGTGCAGCGATAAAGAAACATGTTTTTGAAAGCTGAGTTTTGAAACATCGGTCCCAATCTGCTCTTAGAAGTCTTCCTACATACATTACAACCTCTTCACCGCGTCAAAGGTTCTTTTCCCAATCATTCTATGCTTAATGGTTATAAAGAATTTGTGAAATTCGACTTCAACAATTGATCGAAATATTTAGTACCTTCAAAGCGTAAATAGTACGACACGCAGTTTGACTTTCTTACAAGGCCACTCAAATTAGCGAGGTACAGAGTAAAAAGAAAAACGCACTGTTTATGAGGACAGTCGAAGCAGATGACCGTTAACCTATACTTGAATAGGTTAAGGTGATTTTCTGAGCGTCAGGACGAAAGAACGGAGTACCTAGTGAAGATCGAACTCACTACTCAGTCGTAATTGTTCTATTGAAACAAATTTGCTAACCATTACACACGTAGATTTGCCTAATGATTTTCTAAGCGTAGCTTAAATGTGGCACAAGGCCAAATGTTTGGAGCACCCAGTGAAGATGGAACTCAGGTCTTCTTTCTTTTATGCGCTGTGTGACTTCAGGGTGTAGGCGATCATGGCTCTTCACATCTTCCTGTCTCTTGTAGCTCTTAATAAGTTTTGTCAATTTGTTATTTCTCCTAAAACTTGTTTTACCATCCATTTACTCAAGCTCATCAAGTATGTTACACGCTGATTTCATCTGCGCCTCTTTCCCTCATTCTGTCCTGTGAGTATCAGGTTCTCCCAGCCCTCCTTCCTCACCATGTGCCCTAGAAATTTCAACTGCCTCTTCCTGATGTTAAGTATTTTTGTTTGCATTTTCTCTAAAATTTCACACGTATGGTCCATGGTGTCCCCAGCATCTTTCTCTAGAACCACATTTCTGTTTCTTCAAATCTCTTCTTCATCTTTGACGAGAGTTGTAATTGATCTAGCGAGACAAGCTTGCTAACCATTACACCACGTTGGAGTGCCCCTTCTACGGGTTAAAATTGTAGCTATTTTTCTTCATCTTAGGAGAACTGGTAGAAGTTTGGTTTTCTGGGCATTGAATGTGGCCAGTCAGTCTTTCCGCAACTAACCTGTTAGAGCTTGGTCAGAGGAAAGTTTAGCTAAAAGGCGCTGGTCATCTAGAGTTTTTGAGATGAATTACTAAGAAAACAGCTTACAAGATAATAGTAATAGCAATGGTAATATTGGCCGTTTCCCTCTAAGGAAACATTTGGCATTCATTGACCGAGAGCCAGTACTGCTTTCTGTTGAAATTTATAAAATCTTTCGCTTAGAACAATTTCTTAGGAAGACAGATTTCTTAGCCCCAGTAGCTGTTATCGCTCTTTCCAGTACTGATAAGGGTTTCCTTCCTAACCTTTTATTTGAGGTGCTTGAAATGTATACATCTTGATTATGTCATTATCTTCTCTTCTAGCTATATGTACTATCTATTTTAGTTGTTGCTGCTGTTAGTAGTTCTCCAGTGATGTGGTTTCTGTTATTTGGTACAGTTCTTTGTTTGTGATTCTGTAGCGCCAAACCACAATGTTCAAAGTAGGATGATCATTGCCAAGACCCCGAGGCTTTACTAGCTCAAAGCCTTTCTTTACCATTGTTCTTAGGAAACGGTATTATAGAGATGGCAATTTAGATATTTATTTTTCTTTTGAATGTGGTGAAGATATTAGCCTTTTCCCTATAGGGAAACTTTTTGTATACATTGACCTAGCATTGTTGAAATTTATAAAATGTTTCTCTTAAAACAAATAATTGAGTTTAGATATGTCAGTTATTTGGTACAGTTCTTTGTGATTCTTTAGCGGCAAACCAAACTATCTGAAATCACCTCCTCAGATCGATACTTTCATATGACGAGACGATTTGAAATACATGGCTCGAGTTTTCGGGTTGATGTTTTGGTTTTTTAAGAACGTGTGATGTTGGGCGATGTTACCCCTGGCTCAGCCTATTCTATGTTGAATATCTATTCCTCCTATAATTCATTTGTTATAACTGATCTATACGCCGATGTGTGTGAAGTGTTTAGCGTTTCCTAATTCCAAATCTTGGATTTTTGGCAGGATTTAAGATAGGTGCCATCATTCCAATTCCAAATTATAGCTTTTGTTTGGGAATTGTTTATCTTGAATCCCATTTCTTGTACCACTTTATAGAGAACGCTGATTTTCTGTTCAAGATCATTGTTATACTAACTATGAATACCTATTTCTTCTGCATAAGCCGCCACCCCCAATCATCAGTACTTTGGCTTCGGGAGGGAAAGCAGGATCATTGTCTTTTATTGGTAGGTTAGTTTGGGATGCGGTATGGAGTGCATAAATGGTCAGTACTCATCTCATTACACTGTTTTTTTTTTCTTTATTGAGTCTCATTTCTTACTTGTACTCCTGATGATGTCTGAAATGCTTTGCGTATTAAGGCCCTCGCCAGACTTATACGAAGATTCTTTAGATCGATACAAAGCATCCAAGAATAAGTTATTTCTTAACTTAGCTAATTTAAAGATACATCAACTTATGCTGTGCTATCTAATGTCAAGTTCCAGTTTCATAATCATCAAAATAGACGAGTGCGACCGTAGGGTAGCTACGTAACTGAGCATTTGATTACGTCCCTTCATATGTCTCGGTTACATGCCAATGTCGGATTCCTTGCAAAGGATCTTCCAGTCTATTCAGTATTGTTATGAGTCCTCTCTGTCTCTTCTTTTTTTCTTAAGGTGGCACTTTGTGGAATCGTACTGGAAACATGCTCTTGTGATGTGATTATGCCATTTGAAATTTCTCTTCTTGGTGATTATGGGATCTTTCCAAAGGGTTCTCTTTCATGGCATCTCTCACTGTCATTTATCTATCTACACAAGAGATGGCTCTGTAAGATCTTATTTCTTATCAGTGTTTGATTGATTCGTTTTCTACGGTTTATCAACCCTTTGCAAGTTATTTAAAGCCAGAAAATATTTTTTTAGATTATAAGAATATATTTTGGCGATAATAATGGTTTACAAGTCTTACTAATTTCTTCTTTTATTTTCTTCTGCTTAATCAGTAGATTGATTGATTGATTCGTTTTTTACGGTTTATCAACCCTTTGCAAGTTATTTAAAGCCAGAAAATATTTTTTTAGATTATAAGAATATATTTTGGCGATAATAATGGTTTACAAGTCTTACTAATTTCTTCTTTTAATTTCTTCTGCTTAATAAGTAGATTGATTGATTGATTCGTTTTTTACGGTTTATCAACCCTTTGCAGGTTATTTAAAGCGAGAAAATATTTTTAGATTGTAAGAATATATTTTGACGATAATAATGGTTTACAAGTCTTACTAATTTCTTCTTTTAATTTCTTCTGCTTAATCAGTAGATTGATTGATTGATTCGTTTTTTACGGCTTATCAACTCGTTGAAGGTTATTTAAAGCCAGAAAGTATTTTTAGATTGTAAGAATATATTTTGGTGATAATAATGGTTTACAAGTCTAACTAATTTCTTTTTTTAATTTCTTCTGCTTAATCAGTAGATTGATTGATTGATTCGTTTTTTACGGCTTATCAACCACTTGCATTTTATTTGAAGCCAGAAAATATTTTTAGTTTTAAGAATGTTTTTATGGAGGTAATAATGGTTTAGCTATACAAGTCTTACTTATTAACCCATAGCTGGGGACAGAATAGGTGGATTCATTTCCCAAGTGCATAAGTGAATATAACGAACCCAACAGGAATTGAAACACGGCTCTCTGATGAACAATTCCGAACCGGTATCCATTACATCACCCAAAAATCCAAGCTTACAGCACCTGATATTCTCAAGTAGTCACCCATCTAGATACTGACCAGGACACGACGTTACTTAACTTCAGTGATCGTACGGGAACCGGTGTTTCAACATGATGTGGCCGTAATCAACAAATGCTTGGACTCATCGCTGTAATTAATGGTCTTAATGTCCACGATTTGCAGGCATGAAGAAGAACTAAGAAGCCCAATGCAAGCAATAGTCTGATTTCATGCAGATGTTCTCGTCTTTCCAGATGTTCTCGTCTTTCTACATGTTCTCGTTTTTCTACATGTTCTCGTCTTTCTACATGTTCTTGTCTTTCCAGATGTTCTCGTCTTTCTACATATTCTCGTCTTTCCAAATGTTCTCGTCTTTCTACATATTCTCGTCTTTCTACATGTTCCCGTCTTTCTACATGTTCCCGTCTTTCCAGATGTTCTCGTCTTTCTAGATGTTTCTTAGTTTTGCGACAGATTATATTGTTTGTGCTACTTTTTGGACATTCTCATATTCCGAATCCCTTGTCACCGATAATTAATCCTATATACACGAACTGGATCACGACTTCCTGGACACCGATTTTTATCTTGATCAATGGCCTCTTCTCTTTGTTCATTATGATTTTGATTTCTTTTTAAAAAAAGCTACATATATATATCTGGTTTCCACGACGGGCCAAAAATTCTGACTGAATTTCTGCGACGAAGAGTTATCCTGATTTACATTCGGACTATTGTATTCGTCTTTGTAGCTGCTACCACGACGTTTCGGTCGTTGTGCACACTGACCTTGATCAGGTGGATGTCGATCCGGGTAACCTACAGAGAATTTCGAACTGAACGCTTTATTTAATCAACGGTGTTAGATTTTTCTCGTTACACTGCTTATGTTTACCGTAGATTAAACAAAGTTTTCAGTTTGAAATTATCTGTAGTTTACACACCTGATGAAGGCCGGAAGGGACGACTGAAACCATATGATAGCACCAATATATGTGAGGATAATATTCTACATGTACATAATGTAAGTAATGAGAAAAGAAAAGATCGCTATGAGGCCTGTTTACGCTAGAGACAAAAAGCTCGACATGACATGTTTAGGAGACAAAAAGATTTACATGCTGTTTACGCTTGAGACAAAAAGACAAAAGAGAAAAAGATTGACATGAGGACTGTTTACGCTTGAGACAAAAAGATTGACATGAGGACTGTTTACGCTTCAGACAAAAAGATTGACATGAGGACTGTTTACGCTTGAGACAAAAAGATTGACATGAGGACTGTTTACGCTAGAGACAAAAAGATTGACATGAGGACCTGTTTAACTTAGAGACAAAAAGATTGACATGAGGACTGTTTACGCTTGAGACAAAAAGATTGACATGAGGACTGTTTACGCTTGAGACAAAAAGATTGACATGAGGACTGTTTACGCTAGAGACAAAAAGCTCGACATGAGGCCTGTTAACGATAGAAACAAAATCGATTGACAAAAAAATGAGGGACTGTTTACGCTTGAGACAAAAAAGATTGACATGAGGACTTCAGACAAAAAGATTGACGAGGACTTTTTACAGACAAAATGATTGACATGAGGACTGTTTACGCTAGAGACAAAAGGCTCGACATAAGGCCTGTTAACGATAGAAACAAAAGATCGACATGAGGCCTGTTTACGCTAGAGACAAAAAGATTGACATGAGGACTGTTTACGCTTCAGACAAAAAGATTGACATGAGGACTGTTTACGCTTCAGACAAAAAGATTGACATGAGGACTGTTTACGCTTCAGACAAAAAGATTGACATAAGGACTGTTTACGCTAGAGACCAAAAGCTCGACATGAGGCCTGTTAACGATAGAGACAAAAAGATTGACATGAGGACTGTTTACCATTGAGTCAAAAAGATTGACATGAGGATTGCTTACGCTAGAGACAAAAAGATTGACATGAGGACTGTTTTCGCTTGAGACAAAAAGATTGATATGAGGCCTGTTAAGGCTAGAGACAAAAAGGTCGACATGAGGACTGTTTATGCTAGAGACAAAAAAGATTGTTTAAATCAGTTGATTAACTAATTTGCATGCCTTTTGATCCTTCCGACGTGAAGCGCTCAGCGTGAAAGAGAATCGGAAGAGAATCGATTGGTACTCTTGACAAAATACGAAAGAATAGAAAAGTGTCATGGTTCAGGTAAAAACAAAGGAAAGTTCATCGCACATGTCTTATTAAGCTGGACTACTGTTTATCGTGCCCAGGATTCCGGAGGTCAGAAACGAAACGAAATAAAATTAATAAGACGAATAGACTAAAATAGTGATGTAATTTTCTCACGATATTTTGACAAGTCCACGTCAGTCCTCATTGAATAATGGGATCAACGTAACTGAACAATTATTACAACTTTACGAGTGTGTGCTGAAAACTTCATCGGCTGATTATAAAGGTGTAATGCTAGAGCTGTGAAATCGTACATGCATTCATTTCAGCTCCTCTTATTAATAACTGCATTATTTATTTCCGGGTAAACTGATATCTGACTGCCCAAAGAAACTTTTAAAATTAATTACTATCAACTTCTCTTGAAAAGGGTCAAAATTTAATACCATGGTGTTATCAAGTACCTGTAGAAAAAGGGTTTAATCCCCAAAGATATTCATACATAGTTGCTATATTAGGTAATTAAAACAGTTTAAAAGTAGGTAGCTTAATTTAGTAAGGGAAAGGAGAGAATTGAAGTTGACCCAATATCTGAACATCCAGCAACTGCCCCCACCGAAAAAAAACATTGATCGTGCTCATCAGATGGTGATGGATAAATCAAACAGCCAATGCTATTAGCATATCTCGCGAGAGATAATATTCTGCCAATGAACTTGGCGTGACGGAGGTTTCCTGCTTGATGGGTGCCAAGAGTTCTGACACTTGATCAAGAGCGCATCAAGCTGATCATGACACGAGAAATCTGAGATTGTTTGAGGCAAATTCAGCTGGTTTCCTTGAACGTTTGTTAAGCCAGGATGAGGACTGAATTGATCATTTTGAGCCAGAGACAAAGAGACAATCCATGCAGTTGAAACTCACCAAAAAAGGTAAGTTTGTTTCATCTGCAGGGTGGGTGATGGCCTCAGTTGTTTGGGATTCAAAAGGTATTGTGTTTATTCAAAAGAGTTACACCATTGAGAGCAGTAGGCCAAGTTACTGAGGCAGTTACTAATGGCTATCAAGACCAAACGCAGAGGAAAACTGGTTTCAATGGTTGCTGTGCGTGATTGGGTGTTTGAACTGGTTGATCATCATCCCTATTCTCCTGATTTGACTATTATCTGTTCCCCAACATGAAAAGAAAAACACTTCGCTGGGAACCAGTATCGTAGTGATGATGGTGTCATATCTACAGTTGATGACATGTTTTAAGCAACAGCATAAAAAGACTTTGAACAGTCAATTCATGTGGAAAAAACCAATGCAGTTATTAATAGGAAGAGTTGAAATTAATACATGCAAGCTTTCCTAACACAAGCATTATTCTTTCATAATCAGCCTATGGACTTTTCAGCCCACCCTCGGACCTGGAAAGAAACAATGCAGTTATTAACAGCAAGATTTGAAATGAACAAGTCTTGCATCACTTCTTCATAGTCAGCCTATGAGTTTTCCAGTTCACTCTGGTATCTAACGTTAAGCGTAATTTCGTCGAATCTGATTGTTTATTGAAGGCGGTTCTAGCTCAATAATAGGCAAGGATATCTTATTTAAATTATTATTTGTTATTCTTTGGTTTCCTTTGGATTTACTCTTCGCCACTGTAATTATCAACATTGTACATATATTTATCAATTCCATTTAATCTGTTGGTTGATTTAAATCTTTGTCTTCCTCCGGGAATCTGTGCCCGTTGAACAGAAGTCAAACCTCATGGGCAATATTGTTGAATATGAAATGATATAAGAAATTGAGAGTTAGTATTTTGTCAGACACAAAATTAAAATGCCTAGTCTATTTCATAGACACACACACACACATATATATATATATATATATATATATGAAGAAAAATATACGGAAAAAACAAGCGAAAATCCTTATATGCAATTATGCTGTTTTAATGTTAATTTGTCAACGTCGGACGTTTCGGTCTAATAAACCATCTTCACGACATATTCAAAAAAATATAATTAACATTATCAATTCATCTGTTTGGATAAGTCTTGGACATAAGTACATCGTCTTATCATATTGAATTGATAATGTTAATTATATTTAAAAAATATGTCCTGAAGATGGTTTATTAGAAAACGTCCGACGTTGACTGTTTTAATAAGTCTAATTGTATATAAGGATTTTGTTTGTTTTTTCCGTATATTTTCTTCATACTGTTGATCTATATCCATATATTTGCTTATATATATATATATATATATATATATATATATATATATATATATATACTAATCGGTATCACCCCAAGCAAGGCAGTAAAGACACTACTAAAATGCAAGGGGTTACAGTGTGTGAAAGAATTATGAACAGAAGCATTAATGAGCCGGGAGATAAATGAGTAATCAGGAAGACAGTAGATAACGATTGACATTGCATTTAATTTTTTACAGATTAGAGCCGGAAGGGAGTTCCACAAGGGAGAAGTGCGAGAAAATAAACTGTTAGCATAGGAGTTATGGCTACATCTAGCTAGCTCAACTGTAAGTTGATGAGATCTCGACACCAGTCTAGTACTACGTTTAAATTCATACAGTCTAGGTACCATAACGAAGAGCCCATCCGAAAATTACCATGAAAGTATTTATAAAAAGAGATATGGAGATATAACCGTATGGCGGTAGAAAAATGACTGAAGCCGAGCCGCCAGATCAGGGCCTATAATATTGCTGATGCTTCTTTTAATTTTATCAAGGAACTCAAGGTAAATAACAGGGGTACTGGACCATAAGTGACAGCAATATTCCAAGCATGGACGAATGGCAGATGTGTAGATATGTAAAATAGATTCTAGAGATAAAAATGTTCTCACATGACACAGTGAACCGACCTTCTTAGCAGTTGAATTAGCAATGGTTTCAATATAGTCTTTCCACTTTATGTCAGCTAGGAACGTCAACCCT